CGCCTCACATCTGTCAGTGTGCCCCAGGGCAGTTTATCACCACCGTGTTTGGAGTGAAGGAATAATGACATGTGAAGCGTCTTTGAGTGTCCAAAAAAATGCTATATAAAACTGATGCATTATTATTTTTACAAGTTAGACACCCCAGCTTTAATCTATCATTCACGAATAATCCGACAGTACAGGGATTCTTAACCCTTGTTCTTCATTAGGGGAAAACATTTAGCGGATAAATTTTTTTTTTTTTACAGTAGCTCAGTTGGTAGAGCACTGGTCTTTGGACCCAATGGTCATGGGTTCGAGCTCACCACGACCCATGTCATCTGCTCCCACTTATGTTTGCTGTCATTGTGTCCCTGGGCAAGACACTTAACCCCACATTGCCTAAAGCCCCCGTTGAAAGACCTAGACCATCTGGTCGATGACAGAGAAGCCATTTTCCCGTGGACCCACCACCTGCAGGAGGATCAGCGAGGGACTGGTGCAATGACACTTGGGTGGCAGCTCTGATTGCCGACCCAGAAATGGAATAATAAAGGGGAAGAAAATGAAAAAAAAAAAGATGACTTTTTTTTACAGCTGAATTTTGATGATTTCCCTCACACAACTAAGGTTTTTCTCCTACTCATAATCATCTGTGGCGGGTTGTTTTGACCCAAGGACGGCAAAAGAATTACCAATAATATCTGCTTCTATGTTGGCTCTTTTTTTGTGATGATGTCGATCTCCCGCTCAGAGAACAAAATTAAATGTTCAGACATCTATGACTCAATAATAACTTATAACTTGAATAGTCTCCTTGCTCGGGCAGGTGCAATGCTCCATCCCGCTCATGAATGTATAGGTCATCTTCTGTTTTTGGGGGTGTGCAACTAATATTTATTTATATGGCGCTTTACAATGTCCAGAGTTCAGATATTCTCTCAGTCTCTCCTTGACGGAAGCGAGACCGGAACACACTGAACCATCGAAGCCTCTGACCAACACCATCCATTCACTCACTCAGTACTTTCATACCTATTGTGCATGTTTTTAGTGGTAGAGAAAACCGGAGCACCTGAAGGAAACCTACACAGACGCGGGGAGAACATGCAAACTCCACTCAGAAAGCCCCTGTTCCGACCGGGATTCGAACCCGGCAATGTACTTCCTAATCTGTACCACACTAGCACTTTAGCCATTTTATGTCTTTGTTTATTGTGTATATGGTGTTTTTATACGAGACGATTGTCCTGAGAGAGTTGTGTGTGTTTGTGAACAACAGTTGTGAGCCTAAAACAACTTTCCCTGAGTGGACAGTAAAGTCAAACCTTGAACCTTGAACTTGTTTTTATTAGATTTTTACAGATTTAGACAGAATCATGGCATAAGTGTAAACATGTGTGTCCTTGGGAGTCTCCACCTGTTTCCTGGACCAGATGTTCCGCCGATGCTTTCATAAAACTACAGAACTGTTCATTTATTTTGTGTGAAATCTCAACGATATGTTTGCCTCCCCAGAGAGTTACATACAGTGACTTTAAAGCTTTAAATCTAAAAACATGACAGTAGTGATGTAGCAACTTTTATGTAAATCGTTCTCAAAACAGTTTTCTTCTATTTCTAGTTTTCGCATTAATTTTAGCCTCTGTCACGTCATTATCACTAGAACTCTCAGAGCAGTCAATTTGACGGCTTTTCGTTTTGGAAGTGTAATGTACGTCTTTGGTCTAACCTTTTGACTTTCTTTGTGTCTACATGTAGATTATTTCTGTAATCATTTACATGAAATTAACATAGACTGGATCAGAGCTAGCCTGGCCTTATCCATCCGTACACTCTGCTCAATCATAATTTCCCTGCATGTAACGTCTGGGTCTGGTCCAAGCCCCGGCGATCCAAGATGGCGCCGTATTTAAATGAATGGTTTGTGCTCAGTGGCGCTTTGTGCCGGCACGGTCGCTGACATATTAGCGGAACTCGCAAAGATCCATGGGAAACTCGCCTGTATTTGGGCATCGTCTGGTCCTCCCGGTTCTGCACAGTGGATTATCTCCCATGATGCGTTGCGCTATCTCCCATGATGTGTTGCGCCATATATGCATGTGTGGGTCTCACATGGGTCTCATGCACGTGCACAGAGGGGCTCGGCCACGCTCTGACCAATCAGAGCAGTTCATCAGAGCGGGAGTTAGAGCGAGAGCCAGACGGGCAGAGTTTGTGGCAGGATGACAAGGAACACTAAATCCCCACAAAATCCGACCTTTATGAAAGCTGTAGGTTCTCTGTCAGCTGAGGTCGAGCTGTTTTAGTTTACATTGAGTTCTACGGGGATTATTTCTGGGTAGCCCGCATGAATTTAGTCTGGTTTAGTCTGCAGTACCGCGAGAATCCCCCGAGCACATGGTTCTTCCGCTATAAACTAGCAATACCCTATCCAGTTATTATAATAGATCCATGGTCTGGTCCCTGTGTTTGCGATTACAATTGGTTGAATTCCATCCAACCAATCAGGGAGCGCGGGAGGTGGGTGTTGTAGTTAAATGTGGGTGACGTCAAGAGTTTGCGCCGAACGAGCAGGTTGTAGTTTGGCAGTGGCGAAGAATGCCATAGTAAAGTATTGTTCTTTTTCTATCAAGAAATCGAAGCCGAAGCAAGAGGAATGTTTAGCAAATATAATCGCTGGCAATGATTGTGTAGAGCTACTCCCCATGGGCTCCGGCAAAGGAGATGGCTAAAGCTAGGCTAAATGCTAACGACTCACTCAGGCGCATTACATACGTCACGGTAAACTCAGATCCAATTGTTTCAATCTGCAAAAGGAGTTAACCCCTCCCACCTGTTAACAGAGTCAATGGAGCACCTCCAGACCTTAGTATGAAATGTCCTTTGTACTATGGTGTGGTGCGACCAGGCTAAATCAGAGCAATCTCAGCTTGTCGCCAGTGAAAAACAATATTTACTTACAGCATTTAAACTAAAGTGTAGTATTTGGTTTCGCTTTTTCATATCATTTACATCAACCAGTTATAGAGTGTATTAAGATAAAAGCTGAATTAACTTCTTAATCTTAATGAAAGTAGTGAAAAACTAAAACTCTTTATTTGTTGTTTTTTCTTCAAAATGTCATTAATGCAAGGAACACATACTTGTAGTAGCACGAATATTTCTAGTAGTTTCAAAATTCTGTTAGTCCTGTTAAATAAGCTGCGTATTTGAACTAAGGTAAAGCCGCTCAGACCTGGATAAAACGATCCACGCTTTAATCAGTTCAAGAATAGATGACTGTAATGCCCTTTATTTTGGAGTCCCCCATTTTTGTTCTAATCTTCTTCCGTTGGTGCAAAATGCTGCAGCTCGCTTTTTAACAAACACACCCAGAGGTAAACACATCACCCCTGTACTTTATTCCCTACATTGTCTTCCAGTTTCATTTCGAGTTGATTTTAAAATGCTACTTTTTGTTTTTAAAGCCCTCAATGGTCTCGCCGTCTGGACTTGTCCGAACTTTTGACTGTTCATGACTCGGGCAGATTATTGAGGTCCTCATCTCAACTCCTCCTGGAAGAACCAAGGACTAGGTCTAAGCACTGGGGAGACCGGTCCTTCTCAGTCCTGGACCCCGACTCTGGAACAAGCTGCCCCCTGACATGTGTGTCCTCACTAATTTTGGCCTTTTTAAAATCGAGGTTCAAAATTTATTTATTCAGACTTTTAACACTCCTTAGCACGGTGACACTTTTTAAATGCTTTTTAACTGTTTTATTGTTTTGATGCATAAATGTTTTAATGGATTTCATGTGAATTTATTGCGAAGCACGTCGGTCGCCTTGAGTGTTGTAAAGTGCTCTATAAATACATTTGATTGATTGATATTTGAGCTTTAATGTAGAGATTGTAAAAGTCCAAACAGAATTCCACACAGACAAAAGTACGAGATTCCTTTTTTATATTTTTCATTCAAATTGAGACTTTTTGACACATTCAGATTTTGCGGTTCTCCTTGTTCTTTCCTTGGGAGCGCGTGGCCTGGAATTGTCTTCAGTTAATCACAGCTTTAACACTCTCCCTCTGACAGTGACAGGTAGATAGAAAGTTTATCCACCGAGAAGAAATAGGAAGACTGCGAGGGTTCCACGCCGCTGCACGCCGCTCCACGCCGCTCGCAGCCAAATACCTGATTGCGATGATAATGTATAGTCTCTCGCTGACACGTTAAATCCAATTTATTTCACGTCCGTCGGAAAAGGGGCTGCGACCGGGGAATGGATTTAAACGTTGTCTGGTCAAACACTCAATTTGGAGTTGGATTTCTTTCCCCTCTTCCTGACACTACAGACCGAGAGAAAGACAAGCATCACAAACAGACCACATGTGTCCCAGAGACTCATGCTGCTAATGTACAGATGTTTACTTACTATATATATGTCTTTCACTGGAATATACTGTACTGTTTTATTATTTTACTCATTATGCTTAAATTGGAGATTTCATACTTGCTTTTTTATGATGCTACAGTTAGCGGTTTTAGGCTGCTAACGGCTACAGCGCGGCCCGGTGTCAGCGACCGTAACAGCTTCTTTATGATAACAATTTATAGACTAGCTTCTTTACTGTGCTACATTTAGCGGTTTTATACTTTCTTCTTTATGATGCTACATTTAGCGATTTTATACCTGGCTTCTTTAATATGCTACAGTTAGAGATTTATAGACTAGCTTCATTATTGTGTGAAAGTTACAGATTTAAGACTTGCTTTTTTATTATGCTACACTCAGCGATTATATACTTGCTTTTTTATTGTGCTATGTTAGAGATTTTTATTTACTCCTCATTCCCACTGTTCTGTAACTGTCGATGCAACACTGACATTTCCCCCACTGTGGGACGATTAAAAGATATCTTCATCTTCATCTTTATCGTAAAATTGGACGAAGAGGTTGTGCACAGTTGGGAGAGCGTAACCCAGATCAATGCAAAGTCGTATGTGTGAAGATGGTGTAATTGATAGCAGCTGTAGAATGAGTGTTTTCCAACGACCTCCGGAGCGTGACCAAACGTGCATTAAGCCCGATGACATGCGCCGTAATGGGAAGGCCTGCAGCTGGGAGTCATGGCAACGGTCCAGCTGCGGCCAGAGCGAAAAATATACAAATAAATAAATACCTGTATGCTGCGTGCTGTTTTGATTTGGGGATAACTGTGGGAATGTGAAGATGTCGGACTCTGGAGGACGACTGATGCACTTTACAACACGCTGCTTCATAAGAACAAGAAGGAAACACTTTCTGCAGAATCAAAGGTTAACTGTGTCCAGGACGAGCCCCAACCTAGTCCTCACTCACAGCAGCTCACTCTTTAACTCTAGGACTTTATCATAATAATACCACCTTAAGATGTGTTTGCATTTATCAACAAAATCTATTATTATTATTTTTTTATGTCATTCATGTATTGAGTGTTAAAACTGGTTAAAATAACTTGAAATACAGCAAAAAGTGTGTTGAAAGGCAGTGATTAGCACTCACTCTTTTCTGAAGGAAAATGACCGGACTAAATTAAGACCAGTCCAGGACCAGTCCGAGACCAGGCAAGGAACCATCTAGGACTTGTCCAAGACCCCTTTCTCAGCTTTTGGCCATGTTACTATTGTTTTCCTTTGACATTTTCACACAGAAGGCTATTTTTATGACTGTTTAAGTTATTCATATCTTTCATATATCTGTTCCACCATTGCTCTCCCCTCAGTCCTCAGTCCTGAGCCTTTGTCAAAGCAAAGTCAGTGTGCTCTCTCTTAGAAGTTTAGTTGAAAATCAGGACCGCACGTATATATGCAGCTTTGAAGGACTAATATTGTCCTTTTGATATTGTTGAAGTCTGTAAACTTCATGAGTATTCTATTTAAAAGGTTTTAAGGGTCGCTGGTCATCTGGACAAAGGCAATCTCATAGAAATTAAATGAAAAGACAGCTCAGCTTGATGTTGATAAGATAAGATCAGATAGACTTTATTGATCTCATACTGGATAACTGTACATGTCACATTTGGCACAGATAGAATCACTCAGATTTGTGCAAAAGACAGAAGTGTGCAACATGTTAAAGGGAAAAGTCTGTTCAGGCTATTTTCATGACTGTTTAAGTTATTCATATCCCTCCAGGATCCAGGATATCCACCTAAAAGTAGAAAATCCTCATATATACCTAAAAGTTGTCAACCAAAGGCTATACAAAAACTCCACTCAGGTCTACAATTCATTGAATCAATTCTCACTCAATCTCACACATTGGAATTCACTCAAATTAGCCGCAGAATCTTTGGACAGCAGCAAGACTCACTCACAGCCATTTATTATAACAAAGTTTTGAGGAAAGGGACCTCTCAAACTCCCATGTTCCCATCAGTGCATAGGTTCAGGTCCCGTCAAATTCGCCTTTTAATAAACAGCTGATATTGAGTTTTGTTTTTGGTATTTTATATTAAATTTCTGCTCTTTTATTGTATTTATATTTATATCTTGTGTTTCTGAATTTTTATGTTCCCCCACTGGTGCGCCGTCTGTACCTGAAGGATGAATAAAGTTATTTGAAATTGAATCATCCAAGTACAACACGAGCTGAGTCCCCACTGTTATCGGCTCTAACGGGTGTGTTTTGTGTCCACAGAGGGAGGTCCGGCCTCCAACAGCGTGGGAGGGGGTCTGGGCATGGGTCAGCCTCAGCACCCGTACCCCGCCCTGGGACAGCTGGCCCATGTGTACGAGCAGCAGCAGCAGCAGCAGCAGCAGCAGCAGCAGCAGCAGCAGCAGCAGCAGCAGAACAAGGACCTCAACAAGTATGCGTCGCTCAAGGCCGTGGGTGAGTGCTTTAAGTGATACTACTTTTTCTAAGAGCTAAAATTGGTGAATATAACTTGAAATGCAGAAAAAACAGTTTGTTGGAAAGCTATCAAATGCTAACTGCTGGCAAGTAAACTGTGTTGCTATAGTAACTATGGTAACACGTTTGGAAAATAAAAGATAAAGAAGAAGCCGCCTGGGAGTTCCAGTGTTAACACGAAGAATTCTGAAACTACTAGAACTCCCGGCGGGATTCTGAAAATAGTTTGTTTTTACTACTTTTATTAAAATTAAGATTTTGATTTGGGGTTTTTTCTTAATACATGTTAAATCTTTAAACACAGAAAAAAACGTATATTGAAAGGCTAAAGGCTAACTGACGTCAAGTAAACGGTTTGTTGCTATGGGAACCAGCACCAGGAAGTTGCTCATTCAAAACACTGAAAATATATTTGAAAAATGTTGTGGTAAAAATCAGTGAAAGATATTGAAATAATTAAAACCATATATTATTCTAAATAAATAGCCATATGCGCAGCTAGATGTGGATGTGGCCGTTTTTAAAGTTCAGGGAAACTTCGAGATTCAGCTGAGCTCCAAGGCCTTACCCTGACTCTGGCAGCCAGCAGGAGGTCTCTATTCAAACAAGTTGTTTGGACTGCGATTGAAAACATGAAAATATGCAAAGTAATGTGCATAATCTTTGGTATTTGTCCTTCCTACACATCATTTCTAATGTTACTCAGGAGCAGTTTATATATACTTATCCTACTACACAGCAGTTTATATTTACTTTCCCTACTACCCAGGTACAGTAGTTTGACTCGTTTATAAAGTAGATGCTTGAATCTGGCACATGTCAGTGTAGTAGTTTATCACCACTGTGTATGTAGTGAATGAATAATGACAAATGTGAAGCGTCTTTGAGTGTCCAAAAACGCTCTATATAAAACCGATCACTATTCCATAACCAAGACAGACCCCCCCCCCCCCCCCCCCACCCCCACCGTGGCAGCGCCTCACTCTGCATACATTCAGGTCCAGGCTCATATTATCCTCAAAGATTTCTGGGCAAACACTCACAAGATGCTATTTGTCTGGCCTTTATCTGCAAAACAGTCCTGGGCGTTTGTTTGTCAAGGCCTGGGCTGCATGTCGAGTGGGCACAGAGAGGAGCAGAGGCGGAGGTCACACACATTCATATTAGAGTTTTCACATTTTTCACTGCGGCTTTATCCTCTGCATGTGTTTATTTATCTTAATATGACAGTGACTAAAACCATACAAACCCTTGTCATGTGCTGCTGATGCTCAATACCTGCTTTTCATTTCACGTCTGTTATATAAGCCAGTATCAGGGCGACACGCTGACACAGTGGTTAAAACTCTCGCTTCTCAGCCAGAAGGTTCTGGGTTCAAATCCCAGGTGGATCAGGGTCTGTCTGAGTGGGGTTTGCATGTTCTTCCCTTGTCTGACCTACCAATGTAGGCTGGCCTTAGCCATCCGTAAACTCCGGTCAATTATTTTTTCCATCACGTACGTACGTCTGGGTCTGGTCCTAGTGGCTGCAGTTTCCTTGGTTGGATCCATCCGACCAATCAGAGAGCGGGGGAGGCGGGTGTTGTAGGGAGGTGTCGCCGACATTAAGAGTTTGTGCCGAATTTGCCGGTTGTAGTTTGGCAATGACGACGAATGCGATAGTAAAGTAAACCGTTCTAGTTCGGCTCCAATGTTCATCAGGCTAAATGTTAAATACGACTCAGTCAGGCGCGTTAGATACATCACAGCAAACATAGATCCAATCGTTTCAATCTGCAAAAAGCTGTTAACTCCTCCCACCTGTTAACGGGGCTCAATGGAGCAAATCCAGACCCAAACACAAAATGAAATATGTAAGATGGTGTGGTACAACCAGGCTGCTACCAATGTACAATAGGTCAAATCTTCCAGCTCTGGTCCAAACCAAGCCGAGCATCAACATCCGGAGATGGGTTCCCGGGCGCTGTTACTACGGCGACCCCTGTTCCCGATTAAGGCCCTAGTGGCATCAGAGGATGGGTCAAACGCAGAGTACAAAGTTAATGCGTCCATTTGTTTTTACGGAGATGCATCGATACAACACTTCGGATACCAGTGCAGATCACAGACTGTAAGCAATGATGCGCAATGCTAACCCGCTAGCTCAATGAAGCCTAATAGCTCTCATGAGTCATGACAATTATATAAATATGTATACCCAGGTTCAGGTGAAGAAGGTGAATGAAGAGTGATGGATGGATGTATGTTTTGTACTGTGTTTGACTATTTAGCGCACCTGTATATTAACCGCACCAGCCACATTTGATAAGAAAGTCAAGCCAGTGAAGCCAGTCTCTCGGTTCAACCTTCTCTAAATTACTTGACTATTTTGATATTCAATGAGTGTCAAATTCATCCGTGAGCCCCACACACACACACACACACACACACACACACACACACACACACACACACACACACACACACACACACACACACACACACACACACACACACACACGCACACACACACACACACACACACACACACACACACACACACACACACACACACACACACACACACACACACACACACACACACACACACACACACACACACACACACACACACACTCCTCTACTGTTCCCACCACTACATTCTCCCCTCTCCACAACCTCCATCTGTTAGTTTAACGTCTGCGAGATGAAAGAAACATGTATCGCCCTGGCATCACTGGGACATGACCCTCTGGCAGCGGAAAAAGCGTTTCTTAAATTTTCTTTTATTTCATCCCCTTTTCTCATAACTGCGATCGTCTGCTCGTGGCGTGTGTCTGCTTTTGGAGTGAGGCTGCTAATTCTTGAGCGCCTTTGTTGTCTCGTCCTCCGGGATTGACACAAATATGCCTCCTGCTTTTTGTGCAATCAAACACAAACGAAAATACCGTATTGTGCCGAGTCTATATTTGGCCGTTTATTTGGGAATTACAAAAATACACTTAACAATACAGATGCAAAGGCTGCGGAGGGACGGAGCTAATCAGCGGTAGGCGATTGGGTATTGATGTGCAAATGCAGAGATGGCTTTAAATATATGACGGGTCCACTCATCTTCGTTGCCTTTCTGGGGTCTTAAAACATTCTGCTGCTGGTTATATAAACGTCTATTGTCATTATACAACAGAGGAAAATAACCGGCTTCCAGAGCACAAAGCAGTGTTCGGTCTGGTCTGGGTCAGGAGCCAAATTACTGAACGAGCGAGAAGTGTGTGTTTTGGCTTTTAACATGATTTTGGATATTGTTTCTTTGGGGTTTTGTGTTTTAGAATTGTAATTGTCTGTGTGGGAAGGAGTATTACTATGAGAGGTCGGAATTGAGAGGATACATGTTGTCTGGTCTAAGCATATGTAATTGCGTCACTCATTTTCAGACCTTCTGAGAAAAGAGCGAAATTTTTTTGACAATACAAGGAATCTTTTTAAATCTTCTTTAAATAATAGTTACACAAACAGCATTGAATTAGGAGTAAATGTCACAGTGATTACATGGTTCTCAAATCTTGAGAATCTTCCTGTTAGTTAGGGCTGCTTTAGCCTGCTCTTACCATACCACTGTGCACATTTCATTCCGGTCTGGATTTGCTCCATTGAGCTCCGTTAAAAGGTGGGAGGGGTTAACTCCTTTTGCAGATTGAAATGATTGGATCTGAGTGTACCGTGACGTATGTAATGCGCCTGAGTGAGTGAGACATTTAGCCTAGCTTTAGCATTTAGCCAAGCTTTATCCATCTCCACTAACAGAGCCCGTGGGGAGTAGAGCCGCAACATTTATGCAGCAACGACATTTGCTATAATTCCTCTTGCTATTTGTAGCTAAACCAGAACAGATTACTTTACTGTCGCATTCGCCACCATCAGCAAACTACAACCAGCAAATTTGGCGCAAACTCTTGACGTCACAGACACGTTCATACAACACCCGCCTCCCCCGCTCACTGATTGGTTGGAGGAGATTAAACTGAGGAAACTGCAGCCACTAGGATCAGACCCAGACACACACGTAGGAAATTATAAGTGGCCGAGGTATACGAATGAAGGGTATACGAAGACTAGGGCTACTTTAATGTAATGTAATTGTGGAAGATGGAATTGTTCTGTCAATCTTATGCAATTTGCCAGGATTTTTAGCCTAAGTCACTTGGAACAGTATCAAATGGTGACTTCATTTATTCAATTTGTATCTACTTCAGATATTGAATAAATGAAGTCACCAATTGAAACCTATAACTCAAGGCTTTCCTTTCCACTTTCTTAACTGATCTGTTTGACCTGGCTACATGTGTTAGCAAATATCTCAAAAAAATAATATTTCTTATATGTAATATCAATTCAATTCAATGTATTTTTGTATAGTCCTAAATCACAATAACAGTTATCTCAGTGGACTTTAAAAAAAACGATTAATTTACCAACACAAATCAGAGAATCAAAAGTCCAACACAAGAAATTCAACACTAATAACACATGGTCTATAAAGGGCAGATGACCAATGTCCGTAAATGTTGTTGAATATTGAGTGTCCTGGATCTTTTAAAGCCGCGTTCAAACCGGATCAACGCAAAGTCAACGGTGACGCGCATGGAACTGCATGTGCGTCTCTTGGGATGCACACAAAGTGGTCACGGGGACATTAGCGGTCTGAGCGAGCAGACTGAACATACTGTAAACAGCCAAAACATATGGTCCTATGGTCACTTGTGGTTGGGTACGGACCGAAAAGACAAAATCACAGATCGAATTATGAGATTCCAGAGTGGCCTTAGAATCCTTAGAGAGAGGGAGAGGAGCTCAGTCACGCGGGAGGAGCTCGAAGTAGAGCCGCTGCTTCCCCCCCACATCTAGAAGAGTGGAGGTGGCTCGGCGTCTGTTCGGGAGGAGACCCATTAAAAACACAATGGAGGAACTCTGTCTCTCAGCTGGTCTGGGAACGCCTCAGGATTCCCCCAGATGAGTC